GGGGGGGGGGCAGCGGGCGTGGGGAGGCACTTTTCCTCTGCCCGGCAGCTCTGCGGGACCCCAGTCGGAGCCGGCCCGAGGAGGAGGAGGATCCTAGGACCCAGGTGAGCGAGCCCCGGGAATGCTGCTGCGCATGTGCGGGAGTTGCCTCACCCGTTCATATCTAGGGATCCGACGTAAGTCGGGGACTGCCTGTATTCAAAACCAAACTATTTAAAACCAAGAACACTGCACATTTTAAAGTTGAGAAAAAAATTAAGACTTTAAGGCATACCAGGGCCACTGCAAGCAGGAAAAGAAAATAAACAGGCTTAGGAACTCTGGGCAGCTCTTTCCATGGAATGAAAAGGGGAAGGTCAAGTCCTCTAGTTGTTAATCAAGTAAAACTTCTATTGCCATGAATGCCGTCATTCATAGATATTGACATCAGAGTGAACATGTCACTACAGGTTGAACCTCTCTAGTCCAGTACCCTCAGGACCTGACTGGTGCTGATCCAGAGAATTTGCTGAACCACAGGAAGTCAATATTTGTCTAGCAGGATTACCAATTCTTCCACCACATACTGGGCTCTTAGAAGACATTTAGTGGTGAATCAGAGGAACATCACAGCTCAGAACACCAAGGCTACGTCTAGACTGGCCCCAAATTCCGGAAAAGGGATGCAAAGCAGGTAAGTCAGCATAGGGAAATCCGCGGGGGATTTAAATATCCCCCGCGGATTTAAATAAACATGTCCGCCGCTTTTTTTCCGGCTTGGGGAAAAGCCGGAAAAAAAGCATCTAGACTGGCGCGATCCTCCGGAATAAAGCCCTACTTTCAAGTAGGAATAAGAGATCCTCCGGAAAAGGGCTTTATAAATAAATAAAGCCCTTTTCCGGAGGATCTCTTATTCCTACTTGAAAGTAGGGCTTTATTCCGGAGGATCGCGCCAGTCTAGACGCTTTTTTTCCGGCTTTTCCCCAAGCCGGAAAAAAAGCGGCGGACATGTTTATTTAAATCCGCGGGGGATATTTAAATCCCCCGCGGATTTCCCTATGCTGACTTACCTGCTTTGCATCCCTTTTCCGGAATTTGGGGCCAGTCTAGACGTAGCCCAAGAGCCAAGACTGGTGGCTGTAAACAAACTTTATGGGACCATGGCAAACTTAGCTACAACCATGATAAGTGGACATCTGGCTAACTAAAATCATGTCGGACCACGGATGTTGCCGGAATAGAGAGTGCCAGACTACAAGGTTCAACCTGTAACTGTACACATACTCAAATATCTCAGCCATCTTATCCAGGGCTATGTATTTTATACACACTAACTTAGGGACAACATTTTTCGGCATTAAACACACTGGAACTCATGATATTTTCTCATACTTCCTTTTCTCAAACTCAGAACAAAAAAAGACAAAACAAAAAGATAAAATTGCACAGCAGCCATTGGTCTACAACCCAGTCTGAGGCAAAACCTGCCACCCTTTGGGGTTTAAGTAATCCCCTCTCATCAAGCTCTCATTCTTTCTTGCCTCATCCTTCCTAAACTCTCTGCTGCTTTTCATGCTGTCTACCATGACATCCTTGCTGGAGCATCAGAGAACTGACTGCCTTGGGTCTGCTCACATCTATCAGAGTCTTCTTTTTGTGCAGCATGCAGTAGAGAGATAGGCTAGTTCAGTGGACAGGGAACTAGTCCTGATAGAGTTAGGTATTTACTCCCTCCCTCACCTTCATGGACTTCCTGAATGACCTCATACCAATGTCTTCGGTTCAGAAACTCCTTTAGATGCTTAACTGCATCTTGGATGCCTAAAACCATAAGGGTTTTAGGCATCCAAGATGCAGTTAAGCATCTAAAGGAGTTTACACAACATCTAACCTTCCAGGTGCTTTTGAAAATCTCACTAGGTGACTAAATACCTTTGAAAATCTGGCCTTTAGTCTCTTTGTGCTTCCGTGCCCCACCTGTACAATAGGGATAATAGCCCTGCTCTGCCTTACAGAGGAGTTGTGAGGAGAAATAGGTTAGCCAATGTGAGGCCCTCTGGTACTATGGTGACTGGGCCACATAATATCATAGGGGAGCTCTCTACACCACTATGCATCTGATGAAGTGGGTTCCAGCCCCCAAAAGCTTATGCCCCCTAGTCTTTAAGGTGCCATAGGAGTCCTCATTGTTTCTGCTGAAATAGATTAACACAGCTACCCCTCTGAAACTTCCTTACACCACTATTACCACTTCCTTTGGTTTTGGTCCCTTCTTTTCACTTAGAACCTTGAAATCTCCTTTTTTGTGTGCAGGTAACCTTGGCTCAGAGGAGGGCTTGGCAGTATTTCTTCTGAGTCCTCTGCATTCTCCCTTCAGACACCTCCTACCTCCTGCAAAGAGATTCCTGTTTTGCAGGCTCCTGTAATGACTTCCAGATCCTTCATTTAATTACCAGCCTTTTCTTATCTTAATGAACCTACCTCTGTTTATAAACAAAATACTGACTCCCTGTCCCAGGGGCATAAACTGGGGAGTAGTGCCTTTCCTCTGAAGGACTCATATTCCAAATAAATGCTGCCCTGTCATTAAGAGCTCCATCTAGGAACACAACTCCTGAATGGAAATATCTTTGCCTCCCCTAAATGGCTTCCCTGGATTAGGCCTTGCCATGTGGCCCATTGCCTTGGGTGGTGACTTCCATTGTTTTCAGCTATTTTGCTGCATAAAGGATCTTAATTTCTTTATCCAGAAAAACTTAAAAAACAACAAATAATCTAGTAGCCCCTTATAGACTAACAAAACATAAGTGAACTGCTTTTGGAAAGGTGGGACTAATCATAATATGTAGAATTAAGCTCTTATATGTCTATGTAGGATCAGGACCTAACACTGAAAGCCCACACTCTGCTAATAAATATACACAAGTGTTGACTTGTGGTCTATCCCCATATAATGGATTATGTAGTATAGGTTCATCCAACAATTTTCCAGTATGCATGATCTACATCTTCCATCTCTTAGCAGAGGAGGTAGTTGCAGGCAGGAATACATCTCAAAATTGCCAGTCTTGCATTCTCGCTGTAACAAGGCTCTAGTAAATGGAGGATCACTCATTATCCTTACCAAGCAGAACCAGCTTCAAAACCAGGGTGACAGCTCACCTGCATTAGTCACTGGTGATGGTTTTCCTGCCCTCCCTTCACATGTATTGTGGGCTGACAGAATTCTCACCAGCTGATTCACAGAAAAAAAAAAAAAAAAAAGGCAGTGAATGCCCACTTAGGGAATGGAAGTGGTAAGGAGAGGAATGTTACAGAAGTGATTGTGTAGGCTGATGGTATGCTCTGTTCAGAGAGGGCACGAACATATACACAATATTCAGAGACTGAAGAATTAATGCCAGAGAATTTACTTGTGTAATCCAGCCAAGAAACCTGATTATCTGCCAAGTAGGTACATGTAAAGTGAGAAAGTTAGCAATCCCAAGGTTAGCACTTACAGATTTTTGCAGCAGAAACAAATTTCTGTGTACCCCTTGAGGTGGGGGGAAAGTTGATAATAATTAAGTCTCAAAATACACCTCTCCCATTTTCAGCCCTCCACACAAAAACTTTCTTCATTCTATTCCCCCAACCACATAAATGCCAATTTTCAGGGGAAACAGAGATGAAGGTGATCCACCAACATCCTATCTCCACATGACCTGCATCCCCAATCTGGCCTTAGTTCTCCCTCTCATCACTGTTTCCTTCCCCACTTCTTTGCTTTGCTTCCTAGGGTAAGAACTAGTGCTAGATTCACAAGGAGGACTTAGATGTAGACAGAAGGGATCCCTAGTTTGTGAATCGCTCTGGGGCATAGAAATAAGTTAGCACCATGCTGTGGGGCAGTTTCTGGACTTAGGCGGCTGGGCGCCTGCCCAGGCATTTTATTGGTAGAAACGTAGGGTATGTCTATGCAGCAAAAACCTCAACCCTGCCATGGCAACTCCCAGGGCCTGGTCTGTTGACTTGGGTTCATGCTACATGAGTAAAACTACCCGAGTAGACATTCAGGACTTCCCCCTTCACTGTGGGAGGCTGTTTGTGGTATAGATATAGCCTTAAGCACCAGAGGGTTGGGTGGCAGCTGAGCAGGAGATTGTGAATTTCAGTGGCTTCTAAATATTGGACTTAGTCACCTACAATGGCAGTTAGGCATAAGATCCTCTTGTGAAACCCACCTCTAGCAGCCTTCTACTTGCCCTGCCTTCGAAAGGACTCTTGCCGCCACTTTGGCATATGTGTTCAGCCAGCGGTTGTGTTAACACCCCCACTCCCAAGCTTTCTCTTTTTCAAATTCAGCCATCACACCCCTGGTTGACCATTGATGCGTGGGACCAAATCTTGGACCTGTAGACTGTAATTCATCCCTGCCTGTATGGTGTGGGCTAAAAGACTTACCCCTCTTAACCAATGTTGTACCTTGCTCATCAACCTCTCTGTGTCGCCTCGTTACTACCACGAGAGGCAAATGCCACACTAAGCTGAAAAGGGCTAAATGAATAAACATGGGGAGATAGACAGGAGAAGAGCAGGATGATTTTCAAAATGAAAAATATCCTGCTGACACAGTCCTTTACAGCTTGCTGCACAACTATGATTTATGTAGTGTAACTGAGCTATTATTTACTGATATCTCCCTGAATTTTAATCAGACATCTGAAAATGCCAGTGCCATGTCCTTTGTCTGTTATGATGCTACTGAATAATGTAATGAATAGTGTAATGAAAGCCATTATGAGATCATCACTTTCTTACCCTTTATCATCAGAACCTTTTGTGAACTTCAAAGTACGGGGGGGGGAAGCAACATGTATCGCTTCATAAATCCTCTTTTAAAGCACATCATTCACAGAGGTTCCTTTGACACTGCTGCAAGGATGCAGTGCCTGAAGTATTTACAAACTCTGAGGACTCTGCAGTTTAATGGTCACAACACCATCTTCTTAGGAGAAACTGATATTTCAGAAAGTCTCATAACAGGGGAAAAGTTATCACATGAAGACGGCCAGAACTGGCCAACGTGGACACTCATTCATGCTGCAAGCAGTCAAGGCTGGGTGCCATGGAGATACAGACTGTTGCTAAGAGATGAATTGCCCATGAAGCAGCATGAAGACATCTTTCAGGAATTGTGCGAGTCTCTGAACAAATTCTATGGGCAATGCATCATTGTGGTGCGAGAGAAGAGGCAACCTAGTGAGCTGCAGGGAAAAGAATTCACTGCTAAGGAGACAATAACTCACCCACAGGTTCCATCAGTCACTTACATGTCCAGCATTGAGTGCTGCCCTCAAATTGCACAAGCCAATGGCCATGAGGTTCTCTCCGTGCCTTTGCCCTACAACTATCTCCACCCTATGGATGTCGCGTGGTCTTCTTTGAAGTGGTTTATTATCAACAACAGGAAGGAGTTTTGTCTGAGGTCCATTGAGAGAACTTATTCCTATAGGTGTATCCTGTTCAGTGACTTGGTTGAGAAAGGACTAGAGAAGATGACCCCAAGCAAATGGAAAATAGTGACAAACAAAGTGCGGCGATGGGAAAACTACTACCTTGATACATTTGCTTGAGGGTTCCCTCCTGCAAACATCAACTGCTCTTCAATAAAATAAAAGACCAATTAGCCAGTGGGCAAGCTCTGCTGAGCCACTTCGCTTCTTAGATGCCAGCCTCCAACAGAGACAGTAACAATTATGTTGATAAAAAGATCATGTAAATCTGAATTTTAATCTCTTTATGTGATCCAGGACTAGGTTGGTAAGTGGCGTGTAAGTTCTGGGGCAGATAGATTTCCCTTAATCACAGAAATGGTCCCAAAGCAAAACTAAGGATCCAAACAGCTTGATTATGGGATGAGTTTGGATGCTGACCTGAGTCTGAATATTTCTTTTTCCTTCATCAAATCAAACTCCAGAGATAAAAACACTTGACCTTCGGGGAATTTTGAGTTGGTTCCTGATCTGCAGCTGAATTTTGCAGCTCAGGCCTATCTCTGACCATTTTGGGAGATCTATTCATGAGCAAAGTACAGCTGAGGTATACATTCCAATGATTTTTATGCTTTACAGGGGAAACAAACCAGAGGAATTCAAGTTAAGTTGACTTTAACATAAAACATAGGTATTGGCATATCACTTCAGACCAGTATCTGACCATGATCAGCACCAGATATTTTGGAAAAATGTGTATTGCATGTTTATTTGAATGGCTTGATCGATGCACTGAAAATCCATCCTACTTTTTCCATCTGTGGAAATTATATAACATAGAAATTAGAGATGGATATGTAAATTACTTAATTAGGAAATCTAGTCCATCCCTTGGGGGATAAG